TATATAATACACACCTGCAGTTGTGGGTAAGGATGACTTGACAGCAGCAAAAACGTGAGAAGGGCCAGCAACTGACTGTTGCAGTTCATTCACTAAAAATAAAATTCGGCTTTAGTTTTGCAACTTTGCTCTAATTCAGTCAAACAAATCTATAGAGTACCAACTTACCTGTGGGCTGAACAGTAGGGAATTCAGATAGGTCATCATGATCTCTCTGTACAGATGACGGCGTACTTAAAATGTTAAGTGCACTGCCTGTGGGAAAAATTACATTATCATACAGGGAAACATGAGTGCAGTTTATTATTATTGATGAGACAGGGAAACCATTACCAGAGAGTGATCCAAAACCGACTGGTGGCTGCTGGAGACCGCAGTTAGTCTGTTGATGTCAGAAGGAGGCACTTCAGACCTGAAATACAACAACACATGAAAACTGATGTAACCTATCTAAACCGTGGTGGACCGTCACTTAACCTCCAAATACTTAAGTACAGAGTCACAGTTTGCATCTGCTTTCGAAGCTGCGTCTTCGCCCTCTTGCTGAGGGGCTTCTCCGACCCACCTGACATTATGTACTTGCTCTATAACTTTCAAGCAGAACAACACGAAAGGTTTCAAAGTCAGAATTTCAATTTCCTTCCGAATGTGTGCGCTGCGGCGGCCGAGATCGACGCCCCCTCCCCTCTCTCCATCACTGTCTATGCCGACCGTCACAACCATCCACGTAAATGTAAATCGACGACAGAACTGCGGGAACGTCAAACTTCTCAATGAAATTGAGGGTAAATTATTAATAGCAAGACTTATACTGAAAGCTGGGATAGTTTTCGATGTTTTGCAATTTTCGCACTGTTTTTTTTAATAAATTGTTGTGAGCTATTGTATAGTTTCTGATTGTGAACTTCTCCTTCCTAACCTAAAATTGCATGCTACCATGTGTTTTACCAGGTTTTACTTCAAATCCCCATATTAAGCTCTCTGTCATTCTGTTGTTTTTTTTTTCTTTTTTTAAATTTTTTTTTTAAACGTACTGTATTATTGGATGCGTTCTGACTTTCTGTTCATTTTTAGAATCATGGCTCCGGGCGTTTTCTTCTGGTGGTGACACGGGATCTAACGGCTGCAGATACTTTTAACATAAATGAGATGACGCTTGACACAGGGCTGTTGATTGCGGGAACAATCCGTCAAGTTAAGAAAAAGGGATGGCCGGCGGCATGCGACGGACAAATTATTGCTACAGGTAAGTGTCTTCCCCGCATGGAAATAAGAATATCCAAATGACACTTTCGGGTATACTTAAAATATAGCAGATTGGAACCTCAACACTTTGGTGGCACTTTAGACAAACTTTTTTTTATACTTTTTGTATTCATTTTTTACACTTACTGGCAGACAAGAGAGTTGACGCCCCCCCCCCCCCCTCAAGGGATTGATCAAAACATCTTGTGTACTACATTTATAATTTTTCCTGTACATAGGAACCGAAAAGGCCCTAAGGGCAATGAAAGTAAGCAATGCTGGTGTCATTATTAATCCTGATGACCATGACATCCCTGCTGTTGCCAACCGCTTTCAAGAGCTTGACAAAAAAAAGAGCAGAACTTGTCGGCAAGGGAACGTCACTTGAGGGTGGTCTCTGAAAGACTTTTACGCAGTGGACCAGTTGGTAAGTGATTGCTTTTCTGTCAAGTTGACTCATGCCGGTATGGTTTCTTTTTGTTTGTTTTCCACTCACTGAAAAATGCTCATATTTAAAACCTATATATTCAAATTAAATAAGTAGACTAAAATTTTCACTGTGATCTAGGCATGTTAAATCCTCTAACGGGTAGGAGTACGCTGCGCCTGCCCAAAAACCGCAGTAAGGAGGAGCTTGAGCCTTTGAGGAAGGCGGTTGACACTTTACCGTGTTATACCCGTAGTGATGCAGATGTGAGTTTTATTTTCAACAATTTTCAACAGTAACTTTCCTCTGCTTATTCTTGCTGAGTTCATACTTTTTCATTTACTCTAGGTAAAACTGAGCACTGACAAAGAGGTGTACTTGAGTGGATCTGCCCTACTCATGGAGCAAATCTCCACCCAAACTGTCCCTCACTCCTACTACGTGGACTATTGGGTAGGCTGGTGCCAGACAGTGTTTCCTCACACCCTGGATTAACAGGGTCAGGGTGTAGAAACACAGTGAAATTCCCTGCAAAGGTTCTCGAGGCTGCTAATGGTAAGTCATCAGCCAGGATAGATTTTTATTTGCAACCTCTACCTCACCTTTATTTCCCAAAATTCTACGTTTTATAGTTCTCTGTAAACAAGCAGGCCCGCCCTTCCGCCAAACGAAGTTACCAGCTCCACTTCGCTGCGCCGGCAACTCCGTTCGGCAGGGGCCGGGCCTGCTTGGCCTGCCGGCGGCGATGGTCGGGCCT